TCTGTAAAGGTGGGAATGCCCTCATTTCTAAGAATAAAATCTTAAACACTTACCTTTTCTTCTCTTCCGTATATAATTGTTAAAGGTCTTAACACATGTTTGCTGGAGAGCCACAACATAAAGATTCCGAATATTGACTTTCAAGCTGAACATCACCAGGGCTTGAGAGAGAAAATCAGAGTACGGGGAAGAAAATAAAGATTACTAGCCATATTTTCTGACCTTGATTATTTTACTCTTTTCTGCTTTAATATTAAAATATTAAATGCAAGAAAACAGTAGTAATGATAGAGTGGTTTCATGAAACAGTTTTCTTGTTATATTTAATTCATCAAAGAAGCATGGTGTACTTTACATTAACATATGTACATTCTTTTAGGAATCCAGGTACATGTCTCCTAGTGCAAAGGAGAATCAGTACACACGTCCCCCTCTTAGGAAAGCGTGTTCAGGGCTCCAGCTGCCTGTTCCCGCTCCCTCCCCCCCCCCAGCAGTGCCGCCATGATGTCAGGCTTCGCTGTGTGGATGGAGCTCCCAGTGGGGCCTCGTCACACAGTTTTTCCAGGACCCCGTGACACTTCCCACCACTTTCCCAACAGTGTCGGCATTCCGGAAATGGTCCTGCAGATGTCTGATGGTTGTTGGGCTCAAAGAATTGCTCTTGTGGAATTTTTGGCCGAGTCCCCGTGTCACCCGTTGACTGTGACCCATCATTTGAAATCATTTCCCCATCGCTGAATTCTTGGTGAGGTCTGGCTCCAAAAGCAAATGCTCTCATTCCTTCAATCATTTGCAGCTTTGCTTGGAAATTGAAATCTCCAGGCACCAATGATAGGAAAAAAGAGCTGATCCAGTGTCATGTCCTGACCATGGCTTGCTGTCCCTGCAGCTGCTTCGGCCACAGGCGCATGTGTCGCCCAGGCTCCGATGGTGCCCACGGGGCTTTAGACCGGGGAGGGGGCCCCAGCTGCCCAGTCACCGTAGTGTAACCACGCTCTCAGTTTCCAGGAGGCATACGTACCGCCTTGTTTCATGCTAGCGGTCATGTACACCACTGCTGAATCCATCCATCCACACACCACTTTTATCGAATTCAAAGATTGTGCCAAACACTGAATGAACAAAACTATATCGCTGCCGTTCAAGTATTTACTTCCAAGAGGTGGAAACCCAGCCCCCAAATCTAGTTAACCTCGCTTGTTGGGTCTGTTCTGCTTTGTAATGGATGAACGCAAGCACAGGTAGGTGTAGATGGCTCTGTCCACTACAGTTGGGCCTGCCCGGGGGCAGGGAAACATTTCTGCTTGTGCTTCTGTCCATTGTAAAGACCTATGGTAATATTATTTTAGATGTGAAAAATAAATTTAAAATTTAACTCAAAGAATGTGATCCCATGCTGACCGTTGAAACAGGCATAATATGGCCTCTGATAGTAAGACTGGATGACTGCTTATTCTAGATATATTTTTTGTTAACTTCAGTGTTTGTTGTTGGTAATTATGTTATCCTTCAGAGTTGGAAGCTTCACATTATTTAACTTCAGCCATCCCGGGAGCCTCATTTGAGTTTGGATTTCTGACTTAGATAGGAAGGGGTAATGTTTTAGCCTTTGATTTCCATTATGAACTTGTTTCCATAAGCATTTTAAGAGGAAGGGAAATAATTGATACTATAACACAGTCTTTTGTTCCCATATTTTATGGAGTTTTTAGAAGTGTGTCCGTGCTTTAGATAATACATATTTTATGCAAAATTTTTAAGTAAGTTACTCTGTCCATGAAACTCTATTTCATGCCCAATTTAGAATAGCTAATTTTGATGCCAAGATTATTCTCCGTGGCTGTATTCTTTCATCTTTATAATGATGGCATTTTGGTCTTCCTCTTTAAATTCTGAATTCCATCATTTGAGGATGCAGTGGTAGTCACTTCACTGTTGTTGGTACATAAACTTCCTTTTAATTAGTATAATACATCGCACTGAAGTTGAAGAATAAAACTGTTAAATGCAATTGCATCAAAACTTTTGTGTAATGTTTTACCAACTTTTCTTTCCTCTGCTGAAATGTTCTCGACTGTGATGAACACTGGTTGTGGGTTCCATTTGTGCCTGGCACGATTTTGTGGCCGCCATGTCCTTTTGGACCTTGCCTTTGACACATCATGGGAACTAGGTGACTCAGGGGCCTATTTCTCGGGGGTTTGGACTGTGCGCATCCTGCCTTGAGCTCCAGCATGGGGGTGGCCGCGTTGTGGTCTCGCTGTTGCAGCTGCGTCGTCTGGCTTACGCACGACCAGCACAGCCCGCTCTGCTCTTCCTGCGACGGCAGTGGAGACCTGTTAACAGCTCAGAGGAGTAATGCAGCCTGCAGGCGGTGCGCACTGCTTGCCAGCTAACGGTAGAGCTGTTTGAACGTTTATCCTGTCTGCTGGCTCTGCTCTGGTGCCCGTAATCGCTTTGGACAGGGCACGGGATATCAGATTATTCTTGTGCGCTTTTGTCTGAACAAAAGAGTGGGAAAGTTAAAAAAAATATGTGGGAGATAACAAGAACCATCTTGGTGGGGGAGTCACTTCCTTTTTAGCTACTTAATTTCAAAACTCTTGGGATATACAGATTGCTTAAGCATTCCGGTGACATTTGGGAAAGAATGTGTTCCTGTGTGCAAGCAAGGACTGGGAATCAGACTTCTGAGTTCTGTTCCCAGCAGCGTGCAGGGGTCACCCGGTGACATGTGACAAGTCAGTTAAGCGTCAGAATCCTAGTGCCCCTATCTGTTGAAATGGACATAAAAGGGGATAAGTTAATGTTGGTGATTTGTTTAACAGTTTGCTGGGAACCAGCTTGCTCTAGTGACCTAGAAAAACCATGGACTGTGGTGCAGGCTGACCTCATTTCTATTTTTGGCTTTAGCGCTGACTCAATGAGAAACTTGTAGAAATCAGCTAATCTGGCTCCCGGCCTCCATGCATTCCATGGGTAAAATGAGAATTATAAAGTCTTATCTGCACTGGGTCTCATAGTGATATAGCCAAATACTAATTAAGTACTAAAAATACGCCACCAAATGCCCTGGAAACTCTTACATTGTTGTGCCTCTTACATTTCCTTCCGATGTCACGTGAGGCTGTTTGGGGAGACACAATTCAGTGTTCACTTTGTTTTTGTAGCTGGCTGTTTGCAGTTCAAATCTCTTCTGTTTCGGGTAGAATTTTCCCACATCCAGGTAGTAGGGAGGAGGTCGACACGATGACGGAGTGCGGTGTATCTCTGTGGTCAGCGTTCTCTGCGGTCGTAACACACTCTTACTAGTTCAGGTTAAGAATGAATACATGTGAGTAGCTTTCCAGTTGAACCAGTCTTGGTCTGAGAGTGCTTTTTTTCCCCAGCTGTCCCAGGCCTTAGGGAGAAGGAGCCAGCATTCCATGTCAGATCCTATGCTGAGGGCTCTGGGCTGTCAGTGTCTGCTCCTCTGGCTCAGTTCTCTGGATGCCGCTGTCCAGAGGGGTGTGCCAGGCTGCAGGCCTTAATTTTCTTTATCCATTCACTGTTTTATTATACCCCCCGGAGTCTGCAGTAATCTCCTCCACATTGATTCACACGCTGTTCTTGACTCACACCTCCAGTGAATCCTGCAGTCCACGCAAGCACAGCGGTTGGGGTCGCACGCATAGAACCACATTCTGCATTTTTAAAAATGCAACAGGCAGTGAATTTGCCAACAAGTGCCAGGACTGGCTGAGCAGTTCGGAAGGAAGGGCGGCTTCTAGGGTCCTTGCCCTGTCTCCCTCCTTCTGTGCCACGGTGCAGGGCTTCTCGGTTACCCGTGGTGACCTGCCTTACTGGGGGTGTGTGTGGATGTTCTGGAATGTATAGCTTGTCGGTTTACTTTTACTTTGAGCTAACAAAACTGAGAAAGTACTGGGCACTACGTCATCCAGAGGACCTTCTTCTGCTTTTCAAAGTCAGGGGCGATGGTGGTCTCATCTGCTCCTTTGTATCATAAGGTTGCGTTAAAGTCCACAGAGTGTAAAGAAAATAGGTTTTCTTGATTTTGTATCCTGATGATGGGTGATTTTCTGTTGGCAATCTAACTATGGCAGTCTTCCTTAAATATTGCGTAAGCAGGTCATGGGCTCGCCGATGCCTCTGGGAGAAATGCCATTTCCAGGGTCGGACGTGGACGCCACTTTCCTCCACACTCTGTGCTCATTGTATTTTTGCTTAGTTTTTTGTGCTCACGCAGCCTCGATCGACCTCGTCACCATCTGCTTGCCACTACCCAACCTCATTGACTCCTTTCTTCTCCTCACATACTTATTTTGCATTCGCCCTTCAAGGCCCAGCTTGGGGCTCAGAACCCCAGCCTTTTGGACTGTCCTTTTTCCTTTTTGAGTATATTATGGCCACGTGTGTGTGTTCAGGTGTATTCTTTTTGCTCCACGAGGGCAGAGACTATAATTAAACTTGGATCATACCTTTGCAAAAAACACGTTTTAAGGACACTTTTGAACGCCCATCATCACATTGCGCCTTGCACAGAGAAGTCTCTGCATCTCGTGCTGAAGCTCACACCGTGAGCTCTGTCTACACAGCTCCTAGGAATCTGAAGGAAGAACTTGACCGCCGGTCTGCTTACAGAGTCCTAGTGCTGTGCCTGCTGATAATATGATCCCACTAGTTGAATCCACGCGCAGTCAATTCGGTAAAAAAAAAACCCAACTATTCGTTACTTTATTTACCCGACAAATTATTTAGCATTTAGCATATAGTATATAGAAAGCATTGTGCTAGGCGTTGTGTATGAAGATTCCTGTCTTCAGAGAGCTGGAAATGCAGTAGAGAAAAGCCTCCTGAAATAGGAGTTAGTCTGCCGCGTTGGCTTTCACATGCCCGCACACGCTTGCGTGGGGCTGGGCGGCACGTGGAAGTGTGAGTACCGATTCATTTCCTCCGTTTCTTCTAACATGCCTTCGGTCTGATCTGCTGCTCCTTCATAGGGCGAAAGAGGCCTCCCAGGGTTGCAAGGTGTCATCGGGTTTCCCGGGATGCAAGGACCCGAGGGGCCGCAGGGACCACCAGGACAAAAGGTAAGCTTGGCTGTGTCATGGGGAGGGGGTGGAGGGCGTGGGTTTAAGGTGATCTGCATTCTTGTCATGGTGGCATTTCTGTTTGGTTCCAGGGTGACACTGGAGAACCCGGGCTGCCTGGAACGAAAGGGACAAGAGTGAGTACAAGTGTGACTTAAGTCGGGATGTGATCCAGGGGTGCCTCCCAGAGATGGCTCTCTACCCGCTCCTGCCTCCCAGCAGTCCTGAGGGGCGTCCCCCTCTGTCCCTTCTCCCTGTCCATCCCGTGCCCTGCCTCTCTGCCCGGAGCTGCCACTGCGTGTGGCCCGCTGAGGGCTGACGTGAGTGCTGGTCATGGCTCCACCCACCCCCCCCATCCTCGTGGCGGCTTCTCTCACCTGCGCTTCTCCCATTTGTGCTTCCTCACAGGCTCTCACGGACATGCTTTAATTTGGGGGAGGGGAGATGATAGGTCTACAAGTCATTGAAGAAAGGGGTTTCCTTTATTGTGGAAAGCGGTGACATTTTGAGAGCTCACCTTGCTCTTCCTTCTTCACCCCCTACTTTTGTGTTGTACTTCCATTCCTGGGAAATGCATAGATGAAGACCTTGGAGAGCACGTTTTGGAAGTAGAGAAACAGAAAGACGCTGTCAACATTTCCTTCTGCTGTTACCCAGTTGGGGGGAAAGTTGCTGGCACTCCTGAGCCCTTGGGCAGGAGACAGTGGAGAGGGTCCCGGCACTGTTTGGGAGGGAGAAGATCCAGAGCTCCACCAGGAATGACTTGGTTTTCTTCCCCTAGCGAGACGATTTATCTTACAAACTCTTCTCCCCAACAATTTGAGTTTTTAATGTAAATTATATATGTTTATACGTGTGTAACCTACATGTATTTACATGTATATGATGTATACAATATATATGTTTTTATATATAATATATTTTACTTAGAAATCACAAAGTATGAAATGAGGACAGAGTTATCTTGTGAGGGCGCAGCCTTGATTTTAGAAGTGATTCGGGTCAGCTTTGGATGTAGACTTGCTGCCTCCGTGGGCTGGGTCCCTGGCAGAATGCCGTGTGCTGGGTGTGGGTGCTGCCCTTAGCCGGGTGGGTGAGGTGCAGGAGATGAGGGCCCCAGCACTTGGTGCATTCTCTCATTTCTGTCCTTTCAGGGACCCCCTGGAGCATCGGGTTACCCTGGAAACCCAGGACTGCCTGTATGTATATAAAATGCACGTGCTTCCTTGGGGAGATGTTTGGTGCGAGTGACAGCACCGTCGGGTGACCCTGTTCTGGCTACCTTTTCACTTTATTGATTGCAGGGTATTCCTGGCCAAGACGGTCCCCCTGGTCCTCCAGGTATCCCCGGCTGCAATGGAACAAAGGTAAATTTGGGACGAAGACCCCCGCCCTGTGCTCAGGCTACCGGACTTCCCGTGTTGAGAAGTCAGACAGTGCTGTCCTGTGAACACGGTTTTACTTGCCCCAGTTGGAAAGTTACTTGCCTCAAAGTGCTCTTGGTTTGATGAGGAGATCCAGTTTCCCCATATTTAATGTTCAAGAAACATGTGATTTTGCCTTTCTTTTTTGTGGACTCTTATCCTGCAGTTGCTTTAAACGTGAAATTTCTCACTTATCTGTTACTAAAGCAAATAAGAAAATGCTATTATTAATCCTTGTCCCTATTAATTTTATTCTCAAATAGACGTCTTCTATCATGAAGTAGCACTGAGCAATAAAGCCGTTAACAGATAATTTTTAGGACATGATTTTAACCAGCAAATGAAGTATCTCTGAAGGGGAGGACAGAGTAACTGAGGGGGCTGTCTGGACCAATGTCCTGTGTGTCTCGCACCCACCTGACTCTCTGCTGTCCCCTCAGGGCGAGCCAGGGCCTCTGGGGCCCCCGGGTTTGCCTGGATTCGCTGGAAATCCTGTGAGTATAGTGCTCTTTCCACCAGAATTTCCTTTTTTGGTTGTAATTCTTCTCCTTTTGTTCCACTTTCTTTCCTTTTCTTGGACTTATATCTTAATGCTAATGATGTTTTGAGAGAAACGAAACTGATGCCAACCTTGTCTTTTGCAGGGACCTCCAGGATTACCAGGAATGAAGGTACGTACATACACATTGCTGGGTTCATTGCAGGAGTAAAGCGGTGCCAGACAAACACATTTATTTCAGGTCACCTTGGTTGATTGATTGCCTGTTAATGTGTTCGTCTAAGCTGTGCTCTGTTACACGAGTATCTAAGTCATAGGCACAAACTTAAATTTTAGGATGTAAACTTGAGACACTGGGTGTAATTTCTGAATAGGAAATAAGCAGAAATAGGAAGCACAGTGTGATGGTGAGTATTGGCAGATGTGAGTCCAGTCCAGATTAATTCTCTGCATAGACAGTCCTGGTGATGCTCCTTTTCCTGAGCCATGGGACAGAAGTGCTCAGTTACCATGTTTAATCTATATGGTTTCACTTAAATACAGCCATCTTGTCGTGTTGCCTGGAATCTGGAGGCACCCTCTATTGTAAATTTTGTGATTCCTGCAGGAAAACCCCAGTCCCTTTAGGTTAGATCCCTGGTGTCCTGCCACCACCCCCTCCTTATTTTGAGCAAATCCATGGCCTTTCTCAGCTTGACTGTCCCTTTGTGTCAGGGTGGGACCCAGCACCCTCTGCCTGTGGTGAGGAAGGGAAACTCAGCCCCTCCTGCCATGGCACCCAAGCGGTGGGGTCCCTGCTCCCAGCCCAGTGGGGGCAGGTCCTCCATCCACACTTGTACCATGAGCCAGCGCAGGGGTGGATCCATGCAGGTGCTTAGCCCTGCCCTGGCCCCTCCGGCATTCTTCCCTGGGCGTGGGGGAGCAGAGAACTCTGCCCACAAGTCCTTCCCAGGCGGTGGGCCACGGCTCCCGCTGACCTGACTCAGGGTGCGTGCCCCATGCCGCACAGCTGTTCGGAGGGCAGGGGTGTCTGGGTGTTTGGAGCAGTCTTGCTGAGAAACAGCATCCTCATGATCGTCCGGTATTTTAGTCAGGGTTCTGCGGAGAACCAGAACCAGTAGGGGGTGTGTGTGTTTATGTACATATGTGTGTATGGACATAGATGTATGTCTCCCGATAGATTTATTTTAAGAAATCACATAATTGTGGGGGCTGGCAACTCCAAAATCTAGAGGGCAGGATGGCCGGCTGGAGACCCAGGGAAGAGCCAGGGTCCCAGTTCAGAGGCTGTCCGGAGGCAGAATTCCCTCTTCCTTGAGGGAGGTCAGGTTTTTTTCTTTCCTCTTGAGGCCTTCCACTGATTGGACGAGGCCCACCCACATTATGGGTGGATTATACTTTACTCAGAGGCTACTGATTTAAATGTTTATCTTATCTTAAAAATACCTTCACGGCGACATCCAGACTGGGGCTTAACCAAATATCTGGGTATTGTGGCCTGGCCAAGTAGACATAAAATTTACCATCACAGCCTGCTTTTATAAAAATGCTCATCCTGGGTCTTTTTGTGAAAGATAATCTTTATTGCATGAGAGCGCTCGGAGCCTGCGGCCCTAATATGCACGCTCTCTCCGTGGCGGGGGGGGGGGGTGTGGATGACCGTGGGCACGTGCTGTAGTTCCTTTCACTGGCTGAGCCGAGCCTGCAGCACAGGATGCTGGGCAGTAAGGTACCAGCGGTGAGCGGGAGGCGGCCAGTGTGTATATTCCAGGTGTAGACAGAGCCTAAATCCCAGATTCCGTACCAGTAACGCACGCCTCTTACTGAGTGGGTTCTCAGTTTCTTTATAGAAATACCAGTATTTGTGACTTTTTTTTCCTTCTCTTTTTTCATCCCCCAGGGGGATCCAGGTGAAATCATTGGCCATGTGCCTGGGACCCTGTTGAAAGGTGAAAGAGGATTTCCTGGACCCCCAGGAACACCAGTAAGCGTTTGCTAAATAACTATAAGCACACGCAGAGTCTCTCCTAGTTCCCGTTTAATTCTTCCGTTTTCAATAACTTACAGGGCTCGCCAGGACTGCCAGGCCTGCAAGGTCCTGTTGGCCCTCCAGGATTTACCGGACCACCAGTAAGTGTTGGGGGGAACCTGTTGGAGTCACTCACTGAAAGAACAGCTGTGTTGTGGCATGAAAGCAAATCCAGTGTAATGATGATTGTACATAGTTGTGCTCTCTCTTCATTTGGTTTGGGAGAACGAGCTTCTTTCTTGGGAGAGTGTTTGGCACTTAAGGGGCACGTATTCCAGAGCCCTGGGGAGAAGGCTAGTGGTGGCGGTGCATGCCAACACGTCCCACACAGATAACACATTCGTTACTGGAGGGGATGGGCGGCTGCCGGCGATACTGTGGCCTGAGGAGGCTAAGTTCAGAGATGGACATGTAGAAACAGTCATCCCAGAGCGCCTGGCTCTGTGGGGCCGGGGACGCAGGACAGGCAGCAGCGGGAAGCTGTGCTGTATTTGTGGTAAGGACTGAGCCCCGGGACATAACCCTCCAGAGGCTCCCCTCTCTCACTGGCCCCCCGCACAGCCGGTAATTCCCAGTAGGAGGAGGGCCCGTCTCCTCCCACTTGCACATTTTGAGAGCACAAGAGAGTCAATATTAACGAGACTTAGCCATTTGTCAAGTGCCATGTTTACTGGCAGTGAATAATGTTCCCCAGACTGGCATCCTCATACTGGCCTGCCTGACAGTCCTTGAGAGATTTTCAGGCCTCCCTTCCCCGCCCGCCCTCCCTCCCTCCCTCTCAAATCCAGCAATTCTTCTGTCCATTCTTGCAAATGTAACCTCTTTTATATTCTTGTAAATAAATGGACTCATTTTTGTGAAGAATGACTAGTTGTTTGTTTTTTTTTTTAATCATTGAAAAGCACTCTGAAATTTTGTTGCAAACACAGGAAGGTTTTTACTTCACTACAGCCTATGCACTTGAAGAAATCATTCAACTTTTTAGATAAACAGTTATATCCAAAGTGGGCGAACACCATTTCCGAACTGGAAACTAGGGCTCTCAGAGAGTTTGGCTGTGAATTTCATTCAGCATCTGTGTTCCTGGCACATTCTTGGATCAGTGGATTTCACAGGGCAGTGCCTAAGATGTTGAGGTGTTTCATCCCTGTTAATTATTGTCCTGGACTAATTCCTAGTTACTTTCCAAATTTTGTAGATCCAAAGCATAGAAATAAAATTTAAATATTTAACAAATATATTAGCACATTAATCATGGGAACCTTAAGATAACTCCGGTAAAAAGAAGCACGTAGAGCTTACCGAGGTTGTGAATGATATTTAATTAAAATGCTCTCTCTTACAGGGTCCTCCAGGCCCTCCTGGCCCTCCAGGTGAAAAGGTAAAGATATTTTTCATTTGACATTCTTTGGCATTTGTACAAGACTACCACGAAATCACCATAACTTACTCTTTAAAGTCTCTTTAAACAGTTTTGGAAAATTATATTTCTTTATCTCTGCTTAACACCTGTGCATCCATCTGTCCATCTATCCATGCATTTGTCTATCCATCTGTCCATCCATCCCCATCCCCATCCACCCATCCCATCCATCCCATCCATCCATCTCCATCCATTCATCCATCTCCATCCATCCATCCCCATCCATCCATCTGTCCATCCCATCCATCCTTCTGTTCATCCATTCATGCATCCCCATCCATCCATCCCATCCATCCATCCATCCATCCATCCCTATCCATCCATTCATCCCCATCCATCCATCCCCATCCATCCATCTCCATCCATCCATTCATCCATCCCCATTCATCTATCCATCCCCATCCATTCATCCATCCCCATCCATCCATCCCCATCCATCCATCCATCCATCCATCCCATCCATCTTCATCCATTCATCCATCCATCCATCTCCATCCATCTATCTATCCATCACCCATCCATACATACATTCATCCATCTATCTATCCCATCCATCCCCATCCATCTATCCATCTCTCCATCTGTCCATCTGTCTGTCCTTTCTTCCATCCAACCCTTACTCATTATTTTGGAATCACTGATCTTTCCCTTAGTTTTCTATAGTCAGATTTTAAAAGCCATAAATTAAAAAAAAAGGTTTTACAGAATTTTTTCAGTAATACTTTTAAAAACTTCTTTTAATAGACATTGAATATAATGCGATCACAACTTTGTTGAAAATTTTATGATAGTTGTTGGAAGAAGCTCTTGCCTTCACTCTACCCTATTGTTACATTTTATATGGTATTTTATGTGATATTTATTAGATGATTTTGAGCAAAGTAGGCAACTCTAGTAATGGAAGCCTAATTTCTCATCAACAGGGGCAAATGGGCTTAAGTTTTCAAGGGCCAAAAGGCGACAAGGTGAGTACACACGGCTTTGGAGTATTTTCATGTTTAAAATTACAGTTCTAAGTATAATGGGGTTTCAGCCTCTGGACCCCCTCTTGGACCCTTACAGCCATCATTACCCTTCTCTGTAAGTTCTTTATTAGTGTTTTCCCTACAATGGACAGCTGGAATTCACTGACATTTTCTGCCTGCAATCTGACCAGCAGAGAATACAGTGAGGTCATTAATTCTAGTTCTCTGTACATCGAGTTCAATCAGAATGTTCGCAGGTAGTGATAAAGCCAGACCTAGACTTTATTAGAAAAGAGTCAGTTGGCTATTAGTAGCGTAACTCTACTAAACCCTGCAAAGATGGAAGGCCATCATACCTAAACGGGGAGGAAGTGAGCCACAGAGGCAGGGAGGCACAGACTGGAGCAGGGGAGAAGGGAGGGCAGCAGTAGGTCCCTGATCCTCTGCTAATCTCTCCACCGGTTTCCCTGGATCAGGCGAGTGAAATGGGCCCAAGCCCAGTGGGGATTCTGGGGATTGTGGCCACACCTGCCCCAGGGCCCACGTTCTCCATCGGTGTCCACCGGTGGGTGCCAGGTGCAGCTGAGGCCTGAGCAGACCTGGACTGACTCTTGGCCTCTGTGTTCCATTCTGAATTTGGTCCAGTCTTTCCATAAACCTCACTGTAAGGTGACCCTGCAAATTACGCCATTGAATTTTTTGGATCTCACTCATTGTGCTGTCGCTGGGATTCTGTGCTTCCAGTTGTACCCAACAGGACTCCTGAGGAAGAAAATTCTTGATGGTTCTCTTCTTTTGGGGGCAGCTAAAGATACCTCCTTTCTTCCCAGGCTCTACTGAGTAGTTCGTGCCCCTTTTCTCTGTCCAAATGCGATAGGACAGCGCATGTGTCCCGCTCTGGACATATGAACTGCATAAATATAGGCAAGGTCCATACATAGACGGTGCAGAGATTGTCTAGTAGGTGTTGCGTTCTGTTGTTCTTACTTGACGTAGTGGTTTTCCTGACTCCTGAGAGGGGAAGTCTCCTGGCTTCGTGTCCTTACTATGCCGTCTTTCTACTGAAACTTAACTTTCTGCTGAGACAGGGGTAGATTAGAACAGAGTATAATTTACATTTTTTTAAAATAGATGTTTTGTTTTAGGCTTTTTCCTGCTTCTGCACTTTCTTCTTTGAATACTTAATTTTATGCCTAATTCATTCCCGTTGTTTGGATCAACAGGGTGACCAGGGGGTCAGTGGGCCTCCGGGAGTGCCAGGACAAGCTCAAGTTCAAGAAAAAGGAGACTTTGCCACTAAAGGAGAGAAGGTATGAGATGGATTTTGTCCGACGAAGGCTGGCTTTCTAATTTTGGGCAAATTGAAGGGATATTGAGAAACTGGGTCAAAATTCAGTTTCTCCAGTTACATTCACCAGTGACCTACAAAACAGGTTTCTAGACCATCCATCCCACAATATACAAGCATCTTGAGAGCAGAGGCAGCTGGAACTAGGTTGGAGCAAGGTTGACCTCCCAAGTGAGGGCTTCTTAGATGCACCAGGTTGGGGCCAGGCTGGGGCAGCGGTAGGGAGGCTGGTTGGGGCGTGGTGGGTCGTAGCTGCCACAGACCGAGCGTAATTAACTGCCCGTCTTAAACCCACAACCTTGTCAGTGTTGGGATGTGGATATTGGGGACCAAAGAGAATTTCCTTGTTAATATAGCAGGAAAAGGAAATTTTTTCCTTTTACGTATTCAGTGTAGTGTATAAAAATCAGTATAGCCATTAGTACTGACAGCTCACTCTCTTGCTCTTTTTTAAAAAATTCTTCTAGGGTCAAAAAGGTGAACCTGGATTTCAGGTAAGTACTCAATTCTTGCTTATCATTATTTTGTGTGAATGTTCATAAAGTATTGGATTTAAGTGACCAGCTTATTCACCTTCAATGTAATATTTACATAATTTAATATTTTGCTTAAATACCCTAACAGAGCTTTCTTTTTGTTCTTTCAAGGGAATGCCAGGGCTTGGAGAGAAAGGGGAGCCTGGAAAACCAGGGCCCCGAGTAAGTGCCTCGTCCTTTTGCTCCTTACTGTAAAAGCACGTTCCTTCCTCTCCTCGAGTCCCAGGTTTACAGAAACAGGAGTGGAAGTGGCTTGTAGGGCTCTTCGGTTTGTCCCTGTCCTCTCCTGAAGGGCTTTCCTGGAGCCCTTGCGAGCAGGAATGAGGAGGCCGCCTCCATCTGAAAGTCCTCCCGGGGAGGCTGGGGCTGGGGTCTCTCTGAAGAGGCCCCCGCTTGCTGGCTCCTCATTGAGAGTCTCCGTGCCCTTTTCTGATGCTTCCTGAGCGGCCAAGAGCTGAGATGCTCAGATTAACTGCCCCCCACCCCCAAAGCCTGGTGACAGGAGCCCCACCCACTGGTTTCCGGCTCCTACCTTGCAGTGATGCAGGGACCCTCCATTAAATTAAATGAATCCTCTGCATATCAGCTACCAGACCCTTGCCATTCGGAAAACTCTACTGTTCACCGTGTGGCCACATAGAACGCTTGCCTTAGGAGGTTTGGAGCTCATTAGGCTCCGTTGTTTAAACATTGAGAAGTCCGCTTCTGCTGTCCCGTGTTTCCTAGTTGCTGCACGTAGACTGCATTTCTCCTTCCTGTGGTATCGTCAGCCCATGCCGAGGTTCCTGGCCTGGGCCTTGTGGAGTGTTTGTCACTGCTTTCGTGAAATACTGATGTCTCCATCTTTATTGTACAGGGAAAACCTGGAAAAGATGGCGAAAAAGGAGAAAAAGGGAGTCCAGTAAGTATTTATTTTTCTGTAATTTTTAAGAGCAAACTGTTGTCTTGGCTGTTGCTTACGAGGGGGTGCTCTCCGTGTCCCACTGCAGGGCTTCCCAGGCGACGCGGGGTACCCGGGACTTCCAGGCCGCGAAGGTTTCAGGGTAAGTGGCGACACTACAGGAGGTTTTCCTTCCGTCTGAGGTTCAGTTTGCAAAAGCACCGTGGCCTCAGATAATAAAAGTGATTGACGTCCCTGTGAGCAACACGTGACTTAATTTCGTGGTTTTATTTACGCGTGCGATTTTTTTTTTTTAAAAAAGAGGAACATAAAATGTCCCACTCATGTCTCTTTTGTGGTAGATGAATTTCATCTGGTTACGAAACAATAAAAAATGCAGATCGAGTGAAGAAAACAAGCTTGTCTAATTTTCCTGTTACCTGCTCGGAAGTGGTCAAAATGCACCACCGTCCTGTGTGTGCACCTGCATGCGCCGCTCTAAAACAATGGGGATTGTGCGGTGCATCCTGCTTTGTCACTTAATGACACGGCGTGGATGCATTTGAATGTCCGCACGCAGCCACACGGGACATCCTGTGTCCACGCCTTGTGCTGCGGGTATGTGGGTCACACCCACACGCTTACGAGTACAAATATTTGTGTTCACTTGTCTGATCATTTCCATGTCATGGATTCCTACAAGTGTAGTTTTGGGGTCAGTGTTT